GGATCAAACGCGCACGCATATCCTTGGCAGAGCGTTGTACCTTGACCTTCTTGACGGGGCCTCGCGTCTTTTCAAGCAGTGCCCGCTCGCGACGTCTTTGGGCTTCATCAACTGCCTTTTGGCCTTGTTGTCCCTTGTTAATGAGGTTGGTGAGATCCTCATCTCCAGAATCATCCTCGTCTTCCTCATCGCTGTCGACCAGGATTTGACTCTTCTGCGTTGTGTGTTCTTTGCCAACTACACCACTAAGGCCCTTCAGCCCCGAGCCCTCACCCACGTTGGCGGCTCCTCGGAGAGCGCGAACTCTTGCAACCTCATCGGCATCTCTCTTAGCTTTCTCCAATTTGGCTTTCTTGCGCGACTCAATGAGGGCGTTCTTCGATGCTTGAGTGACCACTGGTTCAAGCTTGGGCTTGATGGCCATTCGGGGAATGGTTGGCGACGCTTTCTGGCGAGCGGCCATTTGGTCCAAGATTGATCGTTTCTTGTCGACGGAACTGCTGAGCTCGATAACGTCGTCCTTGTTTGACCGAGCGGCCTGGGAAGCTGGCGTTGAAGAACCAGACTTCGACCAAGCATCAAGGAAACTCTGTTTCTTTGGCTTGGAAACCGGCTGGATCTGGATGATTTCAACGTCATCATCTTCACCGAGGGCTTTCAGAAGCTCGGCACGCTGCTGGTCGTTCATGTTGGTAGAGACTGGATAGCGGCCGGTTGTGGATGACTTGACGCAAGAGTCTTGAACATAAGTCTTGGAGTCACTGGGGATGTCGATTTCGTTCTCTCGCAGTCTGGTCAGTAACTTGGCCACAACCTTAACAGTGACTTCAACCAGGTAGGTATCTCTCAGACGAAGCATCCTAACGATGCCAAAGAGATGACGCTGAGGATCCTTCAGAAGCTGTTGCATCTTGGTCAGCTCTTCCTCTTTCGGCTTTGCCTGCTTCGCATCGGTCTGCGCGGTAGTAGCTTGCAGCGCCGATGCGAAGAGACCATCCTGGGCAAGCATGCCGTCGGCCAACTCGATGACATCGCGGCAAAAGTCCTGCATCACTTTGATCTCGGCAAGATGAGACCAGTTGGCGGTGGATGTGAACGCGACCTCAATGTATCTCCAATGAGCAACCCACCAGCCAGTGACAGCGATCTGTTCATTGCTGTCCAAAGTTCTGGACCTGAGAATACCAGACGAAAGATCACTGAGACCTGAGAGCACAACTTTGGCGGTATTGATGATATTGCGAGCGGGTCCCCATGCCGCATGCGACGGCTCCATGATTCTTCTTATTGCGAAGATCATGGAAGAGAGAGTGGTGCTGAGGTTCCGTTCAAGCAAAACGGTGAGTGCATCCTCCTTGGAGGGTTGTTCGGTGATTAACTTGATAAGTTCGGCGCTGGCACTGCTGATTTCGTCCTCGCCGTGGACTGTGAATGCAATGATGGGCCGAATGCTCTGGGCCATGAGGCACAGCTCGTTGAGTTGCGGTGATGTAAACTCGCACATTCGCTGTAGGACGCGTCCGAGTGCCTCCGCGACCATGTGGAAACGGGTGTTGAAGCTCTTCTTCGCCGCGTCCAACTTCTCGGGTTCTTTCCTATTAGGATAGAATCTCTCAACGTTGATAAGAGGAGCCATGGCCATGAGCATAGTCTTAGCCAGGACGAGCTTGCCTTCGTAAAGGTTCTCCAGAAATCCGTCCCACAAATCTGCTGATTTGCGCGTGACGGCCGTCTGGATTGGCTTGGGCGTAGCCTTGCGAAGTTCGAGATGCTCCTCAGCAGTAACTCTGGAGTCCAAGCTCAAGGCGGCACTGATGACGCTCATGGCTGCCTTGGGCACACCGAGTGTGTGTTGATCTGTGCTTCTAGTGTCCGCTCCTTCGTTGATGATATCCTTGTACTTGAGAGTGACGTTGAGAATTGTGTTGATGTAGACGGATGTGGTGCCTGAAATGACATCAATTGTAGGGTCCAAAAATGACCGTAGGACGTGATCTAGAGCATCTAATCCAGCCCTGATGCAAGCGGCCTTTCCTTGCTCGCCAATTCTAGCGTCGTGGATGACTTGCTCAAAAAGCAGGTGAAGCAGCTGTTCGCAGGCATCGCCCTTTTGCTGACGCTTGAGCGAGGCAATCCATGTGTTGATCCACGAAGTCGTGATTGACTCGACCGAGTCATTTTTGCCGGTGCCATCGTCGTAACTGATGGCGAAGGTCAAAGATTGCGCAAGCAGCTGCTTGAACAAAGGCTGAGAGAGGAGCTGCTCAATGACGACGAATGGCCTCGCGTCACCGATGGTGTCCCAGAAAGCCTGTGGAGACGTTTCGAGCAGGACAGTTAACGCTTGGATGATGAGCAGCAGGATCGCCTCCGACTCGCAATGCATATGAACGAAAAGCAAGTCGTAGATGCTCGGCTTGATCTCCATACCCCGAATGCCGTGCAACAAGAGCTTCTCGTCCAGAGTCTTGATGATCCAGTTGACGGCTTTCCAGAAACGCTCGATCTCCGGAAGGGATGCGGGATCTCTGGGGTTGAGTGCTGAAACTGACTGAATGGCTACCACCAAGTTGTCGTGGATAGCCCAATTGAACTGCTCCTGTGTCAGAGACTTTGGCCGGAGGCGCTCCCATGACTTTTCAGCGAATTGGAGGCGGATCTTGTCTTCTCCGAACAGGAACTGGGTCATGGCGGGAAGCAGGACGTTTTCACCCAGCTTCAGTGGCTTCTTGCCAGAGAGGCGGACGAAGACGAACTGGAACAGAGTTCTTTTCTCCGGCACGCTGACGTATGCCATACAGCATAGAGCCTCGTAAACAGTGAGCAAGACTGCGCCCTGTTCTTCGCCCAAGTCGCTTCTCGCAAAGGCGCGGCCCTCATTCTCAACCTTCAATATGATGTCTTTGGCCCATTGAAGACCTTTGTCGATTCGGTCGAAATCGAAGCGGTGGAGGCAGTTTTCGATGCCAGCGACGGCTTCCTCTGGCCATTTCCTAAGGTGCGATTAGTATGGTCATGACGATTTCTTGTGGCGTTCTGGTTAGTCTAGACTTACTCGGAAAAGATTTGAAGATACTTCTTCCGATACATGTGCCAGTTGAGGACGCACTTGTCGCAGTTGTGGAGGTTGATAGCCATCCGGCTGCCCCAGGCGTCGAGCCAAACACCGGCCTTATCTTTGCCATAGGCAAGGAGAAGACTAGTCCAGTAGGCAATGTCGAGCCGCTCCTTCCATTTTTCTACTCTCTCCTTCTTCTCTAGAGCTGTGATGTCTTCGCCATCAGTTTTCAGGTCGTCGTAGTCCTCAAAATCATCCTCGTCGACCTTGGGACAGAGAAGGTGGAAGTCGGGGGGAATCTGGGTGAACTTCCGATAGCTCTCCTCGAGGATATCCTCGACCGGTTGTGACTCCATTTTACTGCAGTGATCGAGCCCGTCGAGGCATATCGTGAGGGTGGTCCAGTTCGGGCAGGCACAAGGTAGCTCGATGGTTTGCGTTGAGTGACTCGCGACGCGAAAGGCGGAGGAGCTTCAGTAGTGGTGGTGAATTCGGAAGGAAGGACTCGTCGTGGTCTTGCGTCCAAGAGGAAAGGTAACGGGGTGACTGGACCTTGCGCGCGATTCGAGAGTGAAGCAAAGTCGGAATCTGCGGATATCAGCCCGAGAGATACACGTGATAGGTCCTGCGTCGGCGAGTCGATAGATCGTCGGTTTTTGTGGCTGTGTCTCTTCGGTTGCCTGGCGTTGCGATAGAAACGGTCTCGAGGTCAAGCAAACGGAGGAAGCGTCGCGAAGAAAAAAAAGAGTAGGCGTCAGCGGAAGAGACCTCTGTAGGGAACGACGAGTTTGGAGGGAGGAAGGTCGCGGGAAGGAAAGGGAAAGCCCACGATCTTCTAGGTTGGTTGTTGGAGGGGAAAAGAAGGTAGTTGACAGCAATCAAAAGGTGAAGCCAGGGAAGTGGGCTGCAAAAATGGCAGTGACACGCTCCGGCCCGGCCAGGACGCGGCCAGGCGTCAATTCCCATTAAAGCGTGTCGACAGGGGGGTGGAGACTTGACCCATCGTGAGGTACCTCATTGATGGTGGCGTGTGGCAGGCTGGCGGAGTACTTGAGTTTGTGCAGTGGCTAACTTTGACAATGCTGTGGCACAGGAACAAGGAGGCTTTCACGGTGTGTGCACAGACCATACCTTAAATCCCACCTCCATGCATCCAACAGCTCAGGGCCTTGACGGTCTTTTGGACCCTGCATTCTTCAACAACACCATGAATGACTTCAATTTGGCATATGATGATGCTTCCATGTCAGAGATCAATGAATTTAACGAACCACTAAGGGTGCCGACTTCTGAAAGAGAAATATCTGTTCCGGCTTCCTTGGATCGCACTGATTTCCGTCCAGCTTTGTGCCAGCAATGTAACACGAAAGACCGAGATGACTGGATATCCACGACTGGACTCTCTCGTCCACTCAACCACCTCTGGAGCATTTAGCCGTCACCTGTATCACTCGTATGGGTATGCCTTATTGAAAAAGTTGTCCCAAACAGCAAGAAGCTCTCTCGGGCTCAAGTCAGTGCAAAAGAAACAGGAATGTGTGGCATAGTAGAAATTTCGAAGTATTAATGACACTAAAGGAATCTCTATGATGGTTTCAAATCTATGCTGCTCCCCGCCAATTGGCGAAAATGTTTTGCTCGACTTATTTGACTCCCACCGACCCGCAATCAAATTTCCCAAATAAAGATACCGCCCAAATACCCTCCTAACTTCGTGGACTCATCAGATCATGCTGTAAGTGAGAATCAGAACCCGAAGTCGATGACAGATCTCCAGATTTCTCCCCTAGACAATGATATTTTGTTGTCGTGTATCCTTTACGGATGCTTCATCTCGAGGATAGATCCAGTCGCGTAGAATCGATGTAACGTTCTTCCTTGGTCCCAAGGACCCCATGGTCTCTACCCTCGGGCTAGACGATGGGTTTGTCTAGTCCGCCGCTCATCCACTGGCTTCAGGTTTGGTAACTTGTACCCACTCATCAAGGGTTCCTGAATCTCCCACACTCTTGTTCTTCACCTTCGCCTGGCTTTGTTTCTTGACACGGGTCAGAAGGTGCTCGAGTGGACAGACAGTACTGTGCCACTTCTCAGTTCCTTCCACGGTGTTCCCTTGGCAGCGGAAACAGTTTCCTCCATGCTCAATGAACAGCTGATGAAGTCCGTACTTAAGGTGGTCGGGTACTCGAAAGTCGCAGTGCATATACGTGTCGTTGTGGTTCGCCTTCATTGGGGCCCATCCCAACCATCTGGTCATCCGATGCACATGGGTATCAACCGCAAAACTGGGCATCTGTAAGTTGAAGAGAAGAAGACAAGAAGCAGTCTTCACTGCGACCTGGGGGTACTTGACGAGTTCCAGCATTGCTTCATGTGGCTCCATGACTCGGATGTGATCCAGTGTCAGTATGCCCGCATTGATCTTGCTCAGCTGGTGATCCTTCTGGTCTCGTCCCAATTCTGCTGTTTTCCCCGTTTCGTTGTCTTCCAGGTAAGTCTTGGCCCTCTTCTTGTTATCTTTGCGAATTGTTTTCAGGCAAGCCTTGATAGCCTTGTACTTTGTGGGACCAAGTCCACCCGGTCGGAAGGCCTCCAGCACTGCATCTTCCGGTGCATGTCGAAGAGCATTCCAATTAATGCTCGTTGAACCAGATCCGTTCTCGTCAAGCATACCAACCAGCTTGATGATATTCTCTATAACCTTGTCGGCGCTTTCTCGAGTGACAGACTGGCTGATGATTGTTCTTATCATAGCATCAACCAAGCATGGCACTTCTCCACATCCAGCGACGCTAGCGGAAGCTGGCGGTATCTTGGCTGGTTGGATAAAGTTGAGTGCCTTGCGCTTTGCAGGCTCTTCACTCTGCTCTCTCTGCTTATATTCCTGAGCGAGGATGTCATGGACGACCTGACACTCCCTTGCACTAGGTCCAGGCCAGTCTCGGTACGGCGTCTCTCCTGGCATCAGTCCGTAGTCCTTGGGGGCCTTCTGATCAGCCTCCGAATCCGTGTCTCCAACTGAGTCCGACTCTGACTCTGAATCTGACTCGGTTTCTGCTGGATCAACCGCCTCTCCGTCTGCCTCCATCACATCCGTGTTGTTTTTTGTCGACTTCTTTGACCGCCGGTACCTCTTGGAAGCCTTCTCGAGGTCTTCTGCAGTCATACTCTGTCTCTTCAGCGCAAAGTCTTCAGAGCAGCTGTTTGGCGATGAGTAGTCATTTCTATTGGCGACCTCCAGGTTGGGGATGTGAGTCCCTAAGCCATGGGGAAGATCTGCCCCGATCTCTTGGATAGGTGATATGTTCTTGGTTGCGTCTTTCAGGCGCTTGTATGATAGTGGATGGCCACCATCTCGGTCATTGTCATCAGCGTGTCTCTTCACTCCAGTAGCAGTCGGTTGGGACATTCTTGTGCCCACTGGATGTGTCTTGTTGGCAGTGTGCTTGATAGAAGTCAGCTTAAACGTTCCCCCTTCTTCTGGTGAACGCACGTTTTCTTGGTCTGCTGGCTCTGGAAGACTCTTTGGGGCGGTATTTTTGGTAGAAGTTTGTTGGAACGCCCCTTTATCTACTGGCGGACAGATCGTTCCTTGGTGAAAAGGCAATTGGATCGCTTCTGCGTCCATAGGGAATTGAATTGCTCTTGCATCGATTGGCAATGGGATCGGGCCTGCATCAACTGGCAATTGGACTGTTCTTTTATCTACCAGTGAACAGATCGATCTATCATCTACTGCTGAACGTATTTCTGCTTTGTCTATTAGAGCTAAACACTCTCAAGGAGGCACACTTACTAAGAGACGGTTTGGACGTTCCTGCTTCTACTGGAGGTAGAAGAAGTTTCTGGGCAGCTCGCCTGGTAGCACTTCGAGTTTGCATAACGACAAGAGGTCAGGAGGTCAAGACTTCAAAGATTGTAAAAGATTAAGAGTTCAAGGAGACTGGTAGGTCTTGATTGATTGAAGTAAAATAGTGTGAATGCAATGTGCCCTCCTTTACAGCAAGAGGAGAGGGGAATGTGTGGCGGATAGGAACGTAATAGCGAGGATTGTGGTTGATGTTCCAAATGTCTTTGAGATGCCATGCATTTGGTTTGTGGAGACGTTTCTTCGGGTTGATATATATATAGAAAGTGAGGGGATTGTCGTGAATCGCTTTGAGGGGCGAGGTTGGGATGAAGTTGGTTGAAAGCGTGAATCACGGCTGTGTATCACGGATGGAATAAGCGAGGTCTTCTACCTAATCCTAAATACGTACCTAGTACCTTATCTAAGGTAAAGGGGCGGACTGATACCTACCTAAGGTACCTAGGTAGACAGTAGCCCGGTGGGGTTGTAAGTTGATTGTGGGAAGGAAGGACTTCAAGCTACCTAGGAAAGTGCCAGTGGACGTGTGTACCTATTATCTCTCGTCCCCTGCCTGTCAATTTGGTATTTACCGACAGTATTACTACCGCCCAATGAATCTCAGTAAATCTTTTCTGAGATAGACAAAAGTTACCGCGTCAGTCTAGCAGCATTCGAGTGTCAAAGGAAGACATAGAAGATGGTGTAGAAAGGGCCTCCAGAACCACCTTGAGCGTTCATGGTGATCGTTAGTGAAAGGAGCCAAGGCCCGCAAGGAAGACTCAAGACATGCAAAAAAAGACTTGAAAGACAGTTTGAGTCACTATAAGCTATTTGTTGATATCCGATTCACTGAGAGAAATGTGACACACTTTATCAAGAAGACGATGGTGGGGGCTCAAGGCATTATAATGTGACATGCCTTTTACCCTGCTAATCTTAGGGCTCAAGATTAGCTTTGGACCTTGAGGTAACATTGAAATGTGTGATATTTGACTTGGAGGACTTCACACCTGTTGTTCTGCCCTGCTCCCAAGTCAAGGTATGACGTATAGCGATGAGAATTGAGGGCGAGAGCAACTCGGGGTAGTCTAAATAGAGACGAGGAAGTACCTCATAACAGTGACCTTCCCAATCAATATCACGCAGTCCATCAATGATCTAGAAGATCCAGATCTTCTTCACAAGTTCGATTCGTGTCAAAAGCTTCTCAGCCCTCAAATTCCCCCCATTCTTCTCTACCGTGTCTTCTACTAGGAAGGTCGAAGCCCTACTTCTTGCCTAGAGGGCAACTTCCACCCCTCAAACCCACTTACTCGACTTCCTCTTCTCAAAGCTGAGAAACTGACGCCCCGTGGGCTTTTACCACTTTCAACTCTTCCACTGAAGCTCCTCGACCTTTCGTTTCGGTAACATCCCGAGAGGCGCGACTGAGATTCGAGCGACCAGACCTGGTCTAGCATCAACAATCGGCAGGCAAGGCTCAACAAACAGGTCAACTATAGTCAAGAGAAGAGTAGTCTCACCAGGATCATTCAAGCTGAGACCAACAGCTCAACGGACTCGAAGACCGACTCCTTCTCTTACACATTTCATCATCTCCTGGAAACGCTTCATTCCTGTCTGAGACCTACACATCACCAACGCAGGCAAGAAGTGACCTCGTGAGTAACTTCCCTCACTTTCTACTGCACCTCCAGCTGACGAAAGAGCCAGTCGTCAAACCTTCCAGCAATGGCTACCGCTGTGTGCTCAGGCAGTAGCCCCTCCGCTGCTATTCTTGTCGACGATGATCATACTTTTGAGGATTCAACCACAAACGAATGGCAGCGCAGGGTCAACGCATACCGCCCTCAAGGCAGGAGAAACTCGATCATCACCGTCAACAGTGATTTCGATGTGGTGGAACTGAAAGAAGAGGACATCGCTGCCCAGGCGCTCGAGGGCCTGATTGACCTTACGGTCGACGATGACCCAGTCGTCCGAGTTCCTCGAAAGCGTCGTCAAGTCCCTCGCGCCAAAGACCCCGAGCGTCAACACGAGAGCATAAAGATTGGCAAAACCACCATCAGGCTCAAGAGACTGTATGAGCTCGATCCTGCCCAATGCCGCAAATCAGCATTGGACCCACAATTCCTCTTGGTTGAAACCATTACCGAGAACATGGCTACAAGCAAGATCACTATCAGCGGCTTGCCCATCGTGAGAGTTCGGTCACTCATGGCGAAGCTGCCAAGAAAGTTGAATGAGGTGGCCATCGTCTACGAGCTGGATGAAACCGACGACAGAGCAATCAACGAGCAGGCGGTCATCGAAGTGCCTATCTCAGCAATTGTCGGACCTCCCCGAAGCCTCCATATGACAAACGCCCTCTACCCGCACCATCGCTACGATCCGAAAGCCTTCGTCAACGTAGAAGCAGTTGAGAAGGAAGGTCCGCTAGTGTGCCGGTGGAAATACTTCGTTCACTACCGACACGCTCAAGAGAAGAGGATAGGCAAAGCTCATCACTGGACACTGGAGCGTGTCAGAGCCGAGGAAGTGAAGCGCGAAGATTTCAAGGTCTCCGAGGACCAGCTGAGATCTGACTGGAGAGGCTTGACGATCCGTGGAGGCGCGCATAATCCGGAGGCGCGACCCCAGGTGCTTGGACAACCTGCCGAGAAGCAGAAGTACACAGTCTTTGACTCGTTCTGCGGCGCCGGCGGTTTCTCGAGAGGCGCCGAGCGGGCCGGCGTGAAAATTGAATACGCCGTCGATTCCTGGGATAGGGCGTGCAATACCTATCGCCTGAACTTCCCCGACACCAATCTGTTTGAGATGACGGTGGATGAGTTCATTCTTTCTCAGAAGGATGTCCCAATGAGGGTCGATATCCTACACCTATCGCCACCATGCCAGACCTGGTCACCAGCCCACACGGTTGCCGGCCAGAACGACGAGGCCAACATTGCCTCCCTTTTCGCATGCAGGAGCCTGGTTGAAAAGATCCGACCCCGTGTCTTCACTCTGGAACAGACTTTCGGCATCATGCAATCGGCATACGCCCCATTCTTCAACTCTCTTGTCGGAGGATTCACCGAGTTTGGGTACTCTGTCACCTGGAAGGTAGTCCATCTCCAGACCTGGGGTCTTCCTCAAGTCCGGAAGAGACTGATAATGATTGGCGCCTGCCCCGGGGAGACGTTACCTCCTTTCCCCAGAGCAACTCACTCCGAGACGGGAGCCGGTGGTCTGTTGAAGTACGTGACCATCAAGGAAGCCCTCGAAAACATCAGGGACGACTCTACCTTTCACAACCCGGAGAATGAGATCAGGAACACCTTGCCTGCCGGTTCTGTCGTCTCCGACCCCGATCAAATCCTGAAGAGATGTGTCACCTGCTCCGGAGGTCAAAACATGCACTGGTCAAACACCAGAGCGTACACGGTTCGTGAGTTTGCCAATCTACAAGGTTTCCCTTTTTGGCACCACTTCGCCGAGGCGCCGAAGTCTGCCCTGAAGAAGCAAATCGGGAATGCTTTCCCTGCCTGTGTGGTGCGACCTCTCTACGAGCATTTAAAGAACTGGCTTCTGGCAGAAGACGGCCTCCTCACGGCTCGAGAAGCGAGACGCAGCGTCGGCGGAAGAGAAGTGGTATTCCTGACCGAGGCGCCTGCCCCCGCGCCGCGCCGTGTCCCTGCTCCGATCGCGATGTCGCCATCGCCCTTGGGTACCCAGGGAGACTCCGAGAACAACGCCATGATGCTCGACGAGGATGATGAGGATGATCAGACCGAAATCAAGTTCTACGGGGACTCCGATATCGAGATGGCTGATGTGCCCGAGGCGCCCAGGATCTCGGATACCCCCGACACGCCGCTGTCGTACTACCGGTACCGGTGCCGATCGAGGACGATGTCGCTTGGTCCCTCGCCGGAGCCGGTCCAGTTTGGGGCGAAGGACGCGCCTATCGTGATTGATTGAAGGAGTAGGCGTCTCACTCTCACTTGGGGCGAAAGATTATATTGTGTGTGGATGGTTTGCGGGCTTGCTACGATTTTACGACTGGAATGACGATGTTGCACGATAGTTACAGGACAAGGAAAAGGAACAGGGGAGGCGGGCGGTGTTGAACATTGGTTTCTCTCAGAGACTAACAGACACGGGCTTGATGGCACGAATTTCCAAAACCATGAGAACGGATCTCTGCACTGGACGAATGGGAAACGACATGAGAGGAAGGGAGTTGCTTTTTTTTCTTCTCTGTTGTAGTCTAGTTCTGAGATTAATCCTCATTTGCTCAGCTCTTATTCCTTACTGACTCCAACATACCCCCTAACCATCCTTCTTCACCACCAGAAACGAACAACACCACCTCACGCCCTCAACACACTCTGATCAACCCAGCTCACAAACCCAAACTCCCCCTCGGGCTTCTGAAACACATCCTTGGGCTCCCTATACGGCGCCGCGCCCTTGTCGTCCAGCACAATCGTGACATTGCTCGCCTTCATCTGCTCAGGCGTCCAGCCGGGTCCGCGGTCGTCGTACACGGCCATGAACGTGTAGTTGTTGAAGCGCGGGTCCGTCGCCTGCCACTCAATGTAGCCCTGGGGCTTGACGGAGGCGTCAAAGAAGGACTGCATGAAGATGGAGCGGTGCTGCGCGTTCCAGGGGCGGCCGAGGGCGCAGGCGCCGCGGATGGTGGGCGCGACGGAGGCGTTGGCGGCGAGGACTTGGGAGTCTGAGATGTAGACGCCGTACTTGTTTTCAAAGGTTGTGTTTGTTCCTGTTTGGGGTGCGTGTTAGTCACATCATTCGATCGAGGGGGGGGGTGAAGCACGGGGTCTGGTGAGATTGAGTGGAACGTACCCTTCCAAGCAGTGATACCACCACCGCAGTTCCTCAGCGACAGCGTCGACTTTTCAATATACGCCGTTCCGAACCCGTACAAGAAATCCGTCTGGCCGGCAATCACATTATCGTAAAAGTACGCGTTGCCCAACTTCCCAACGTACAGCGTATCCTGCCATCCGTACAAACCGCACGAGTAGAACCCGGCATTCGCCCTGCTCACACCGACGGCGTGCGCGGGGCCGTTGGAGTACGGGTACTCGTCGTTGCGGAAGTCGATATTGTACGCGCGGAAGTCGGCGCACCCGAAGGGGGTGTCGGCCGGCACGGGGAAGCCCGTGGGTCCGGATCCGGCGAGGGTGGCGTTGAGCGTGGGCCCGACGGAGAGGACGCTGGTGTAGGCGTTGTCTGGGAAGCGGACGTTGTGGTTCGTCGCGTTGAAGAGGACCTGGACTTCGTTTTGGGCGTTGCCTGCCGTGGCGTTGCCCACGGAAGAATACGAGAGTCCGCTGCTGGGGGAGTCGGTCATGCCGAGGAGGGTTAGGGGGCCCGGGCGGGTTACGTTGAGTTGTTCTATGTAGATGCCCGGCGCGATGAGGATTGTGTGGGCTGTTGTGTCGTGGGGGAGGGAGGCGATGGCGTCTTGGATGGTTGTGAAGTTTGCGTGTTTGGAGGTTTTGGAGACGAAGAGTGTGTCTGGGGGGCAGCCTTCGAAGGAGTTGTCGGTTTTCTTTTGGCATGCTGCGTAGGTCTTTGCCGGGCCTGAGGGGATCGCGGCCGCGGCGAGGGAGACGAGGGCTCCGGAGAGGAGGATGGATGCCTTCATTTTGAAGTCTGTCCTGGTTTTCTCTCACTTACAAAGTTACGTTAGTCGTAAAAGTGAAGAGAGGAGGGGACTAGAGAAACAGGGGAGGGAGGAGAGACCCGTACGAGCCGGGCCGGGAGGTATATACAAGCACAAAAGAGTGTGGTGTCAACTTGAGTTGGTGTTCTTCTGAACAAACTGAACAAAGAGACCCGATGACCTGGATGGGGATGCTATATATCCTTCCCGTCCGTCCCATTGCTACCTACCCTCGACTAGGTAGCCAGTGCTACCGTACCTGAGAGGTACCTTAAGCTTCCCCTTGCCCATATTACCCGAGGCTTGTCACAATCTCCTCGACAGCTTGCGAGTTGGGGGCGGGAGCAGGTTTTCCGGGCACGCCCCCTGTCCCGGGTTCAAGTCTCGCAGTAATAGAATCCAACGGTCGTCAGCTACACAAGTACACACTTAAAAAGAGCACACACGCACAAATGGAATGCTCAAGTGCGCGTATTGCGGGTGGAGACATATGTGGCACTTGCAGTGGCAGCGCCAAAGTATACCATATTGGCCCCCTCCAGGAGAAAAGCGAAATTCTCGCATAGCTCGCACTTTGCGGCCCTCGCTCATCTGTCAAAGGTACGAAGTACATCCATCAGCTCAGCTTACGACTCTCCCTCTCTCTTGGTCTCTCTCTCCCCCGGGTTGTACGCGCGGGGTAGAAGACGGAGTTGTTACCCCGGAAATCTCATCGTCGGCAGACGTGTCAAAGGAAGATTGTGTCCCGTGGGGAAGAAGAGGCGTGGCAATGGGACGAACATGATGAGCACATGGTAATGCGGTAGGTGCCAAGGCCAACAGTTGGGGAAAATGAGGAGGTCGAATCCCCAACTTTTGGGGCTCTGCAGGGCTGCTGCAGTCGTGCAGATGGAAGAACTGCAGCTGGCAGATTCCACGAACCACGTCGTGCAGGGCCTTGCAGGGCCTTGCAGGGCACTCACACTAGCCACAAGCCACGAGCTAGCGTAGCCTGCAATATCAACGGTGTCGTTAACAACCTTTGGGAAATGCGAAGTTATGAAGGAGGGCCGGAAATCAAGCAGAAACCAAGCAAGACCAAGCCTTCGGAAACGCGGCATGGGCGCAAGCCAACCGGCTTGGCCTGCGAGCTCCCCCACACCGGGTACGTGGGGTAACCCTAGTCGCTGTTCCACCTCAAATCCTCAATAAATCCAGCAAAAAGTCCACCTCGCTGCAGCGACTGCGCTGCACGCCTTCAGGGGCACCAATCAGTGAGAGTTCGCGAGAGATGCCCCTCTGTTGGCCCTTAATTAGCGCTAGCCCGCACTGTAATTGATAAACCCGGAATTGCCCAATGGGCACTCGGAAAACCTTATTCTCGCCCCACTATTTCTCTTTTCCGTCGACTTTTTCTGCCCGTCTCCAATTCCCGTTCCTCTCATTCTCACACTCACACTCATTCTCAGTGCTCACTCTCACTTTAGTATTACACTCCCACCGGCGCATGTAAGTTCTCTCAGCCTCCATCTCCTTCAAAAAGAAAACATTATTTCCCCTGAGACGCTCGTCCAGGACTCCATGTACAAACTCACCCAACGCACCAACATGATCATCATCTCCTTCAAAAGAAACATTATTTCCCCTGAGACGCTCGCCCAGGACTCCATGTACAAACTCACCCAACGCACCAACATGATCATCATCTCCTGCCAGATGTCCTCCTGCTAAGCTTTTCCCGGGAACGACGGAGATCACCACATGATGTCTTACACCAGCATGTCCCTAGTTTCGCCATATAAAACACAAAAAGCTTGACTTTGTTGGCCGTTTCATCTCACTCCGCACCCAGATGATCAGACGAATAGCCGCTCGCCTTGTCCCCTCGTGGTTAGTGCTATGTGCCCGTCGTAAGTCTCCGAGCAATAGTGACGGCGAAGCTTTGCCGTCTCGTCCGTTCATCCCATCTCCATGTGCCCTCGCCGTTCTTCCTTGAACCCCTTCATATGGACGGAAAAATTGCAGCCCATGGTCCCATGCCATGTGCTCTTTCTCCAATCTCTCCCTTTGCTAGAGCCGGTAGACCCCTTCCCTTGTGCCCCTGCTTCACCTACAGTAGTCACCCCTAATCGAGCTATCGCCGTGTCATTCATGGTGGATATCCTTCCAACGACGAGAAGCTTCCCCCCCCCCCTGCTCCGCATCGGCGCATATCCCCTCTCCGAAAGCTCGCCTCCAACACTCACCCGGAAGATCTGATATAAATACTTTCCCAGCCCTTTTACAGCGCAGCAGTTTTGCAATGACTTTGTACAGCTTCTCCAATCGCTTGGCAAACTACCCCCAATCGTCCTTGGCGCATCAGAATCAATCCTGACCGCCGTTACATTCTTTTACACTTGCTTGTTCAATTCAGTTAGTTCACCATGGTCGCTCCAACCCTGCTCGGCGGTCTCCTCGCCGCCGCCCTGGTCCCTCTCACCCACGCCGCCGCCGCCGCAGGCCGCCCAGACATCAAAGCCGCCCCCTTCCACCCGGGCCGCCCCTTCCCCGCCTCGGCCCCGAGGACAAAGACCTGCGCCGTCAAGGCCGGCACCAACGGCAGCGACGACTCGGCCGCCATCCTCCAGGCCTTCAAGTCGTGCAACAACGGCGGCACCGTCGTCCTCGACTCCACGTACAACATCTGCAACCCGCTCGACCTCACTTTCTTGAATGCCGTGGATGTTGCCATCACGGGCACCGTCAACTTTTGCGATGACATTGACCACTGGCTGCCCCTCACCTACAAGTACACCTTCCAGATCTCTTCCTCCATGTGGAGGTTTGGCGGCAAGGATGTCAACATCTATGGTAATGGCGTCGGTACGCTCAACGGCAACGGCCAGAAGTGGTGGGACCGGTTCGCGTCGAATGCCACGCTTGAGAGACCTATTCTGTTCGTCACTGATGGTCTTCACGGCGGCTCTATTACCGGCTTGAAGATGGTCAACTCGCCTCAGGTAGGACTAACGCTCGCTCACTCAACTCAATCTCACCTTCATCAACATCACATGAAACTCATCCACCACACATGAAAAACCCACACACTAACAAAAAAAACTCCCAAACAGTGGTTCAACCTCATCGCAAACAGCACCGACGTCCTCATTTCCGACATAGACATCCAGGTCGGCTCCACCTCCTCCAACCCGGCCAAAAACACCGACGGTTGGGACATTTACCGCTCCGACGGCGTCGTCATCCAAAACTGCGTCATCAACAACGGCGACGACTGCGTCTCCTTCAAGCCCAACTCGACAAACATTGTCGTCCAGAACCTCGTCTGCAACGGTTCCCACGGCATCTCCGTCGGCTCCCTCGGCCAGTACGTCGGCACGTTCGACGTCGTCGAGAACCTCTACGTCTACAACACGAGCATGTCCAACGCCTCGGACGGCGCCCGCATCAAGGTCTGGCCTGGCATGGATACCCCCTTCCAGCCCAACCTCTCTGGCGGCGGCGGTTCGGGATACGTCAAGAACGTCACCTACGATACCTTCCACAACGACAACAATGACAATGCTATTACGATTGATCAGTGCTACGGCCAGAAGAACCAGACTCTCTGCAACCAGTACCCTGTAAGTTTCTCCCAGCAGGTCCCATGATTAAGGAAGATGGGAGAATTGGAGTATTAACACCATCTGCTCTAGTCCAACATGACCATCAGCGACATCTACTTCAAGAACTTTGACGGCACCGCCTCCTCCAAGTACGACCCCCGCGTCGGATCCCTTGTCTGCAGCAGCCCCGCCGTAAGTTTTCTCTTTCTTCCTACTCTCTTACGCTGTCGATACGTAACTTTGCTGACATGCGGAACCAGAAATGTGTCAACATCAATGCCTCCAAGATCAACGTCAAGGCCCCGAGCGGCAGCAAAGCCCAGTGGCTCTGCATTAACTTGGACACTGGCCTTCTCGACATCAACTGCGTCACCAAGGTGACCAAGAGCTAGGAGTTCCGAGTCCCCGCTGGACCTGTGATTTCTTTTTAAATCTTATCCTGTAAATTCGAACTTTACCTTCTTGTATTGAAAAGGGAAACTTTCCCCGGGTATTCTTTTTATGTAAACCCCGTCCAAAATTTTACTTGAGGGGAGAACGTGGATCTCATACACATACATACTATAGCCTCGTATCTCTCATGTCTATAGAATTTGAAGGCTCAAAAGTCGAGTGATGGCCAAAGAGAAGCTCACCTCGTTAAACACAAAAGTCCTTCCTATACCATATTTCAGCGTTCAAATCTCCCTCCCGCCAGAACTCCCACTAAAGAAGCCGACGGGATATTAATCAACCATCAAATTGACTCAACATGTCCGTCAAAAGGTTTATCAAACCTCCACACAGCCATATCTCTCATCTCACCAAACCGCCACACCTTGACGCACTCCTTTTCGACGGCGACAAGTCTCCCGCCGCACTTCTCAGAGACTTTCATGCTGCCCACGTTCTCCGGGTCCACCTGCGCAATGAGGTGCGTAATCTCGACGTCACACCCGTTCATCCCGTTCTCTACTTCTTTGGTACCTACGGGGACGAATACCTCCTCCCTCGGAGCCACCCTGCTCCGGCTCCAGTACATCTCCAAAAATGCCCTGATCGCGCGTGTGGCGTACCCTTTGCCCCAGCAATCGGACCTCAGCTTGTAGCCTATCGATAGCCCCCACGCTGACGCCCTTGTCGTTCTGATGATGCCAATCATACTGGTCTCTTTTGTGGCGTAGTCTTGGACAGTTATAGCACAGCTGAGGTGCCAGGGGTCGCTCGTGAGAGCTTTCACCATGCGTTCTTTGGAAGCTTCGAGGGTAGTTGTGTGTAGCTGGGTGCTGTGTGGGGGGGGGGGGGGGGGGGAAATGGGGTGAGCGATGTGTGTGGATGAAGGGGGAGCAGTAGAATTAGGATCAGTGATCTTACCTCCAGAGAGCCGCTTTTTCGTCGGATGATAGTTCGTGGAAGCCTTGGAGATGCTTTTTTAGGTCCAAGGGCTCTAGCCAGAAGATTGGAAAGGGTGCTTTTGTACACATTTTAGGATTTTGGCGAGTCTAATATTGCTATCGAGATATGATGCGAAATGAGAAGTGAGGTATGAGAGTAGAACAAATTGTGTTCAACGTTCTTCATGGTATTGATTGGAAAGATTGTGAGTAGTTCTCGATCCTGGTTCGGCTTGGTCTTAAAAGTCGCCCGTTCCAGTGAGTCACTATTCCCTGGCTAAGTCCATGAGTGGTGTAAGACTGAGCTCATTCAAGGACTTCTGTAATAACGCCCAGCTTTTAGCTCTCAGCTTCCAGAAAACTGAACGCCAATAGTGTCTTTCTGTTTCATCAGATGTTGGCTTAATACGGGTGCTAGTTGTGTCTACAATGGCCACTCAATTAGATTGATGTTGAGAAACGGAATGGAAGGTGTTAGTGAACGGACACAATATGAGCAAATGCTCTAAGTGCCATGCAATCATTGCAAAAGAGATGGAGCTTCCTGTATGGCTACGGACTTGAAAGACCAGAAAGTTCTACTCACAGAAACCTGCTCAGATTATTTTCCCAGCTTGGGCTGATGAGATAAAAGACAATGTGAAAAAGGACCTTGATGAGTGACTGGTTAGTGAACGTCGCTGCTCCAGACCCCACGTTGCGCGCCCCTCATTTTCGTCCGCTCACCCTCGGGGGCACCCGTAGAGCTTCTCCGATAAGATAAGACATTTTTCGAACCTCGAAACTTTCCAATCTCAAGAGAGTCACTTCAACGCGACAACACCACAGCCACATCCCACGTCATTGCACACGCACCATGTCCAGCAATGTCGGCAGCAGGTCCTAACTCGAAACCCCTAAAGTCCGCCTTCGCCAACAAACGAAAACAGGGATCCTCGGGCGACAATGGCGGGAACAACGGTGCGGGCGGTGGCGGCGGTGGCGGCGGTGGAGGAGGATGGGCGCAAAAGCGCGTCAAGATCCGCAACGACCGCGAAATCGCAGCGCAGTCCTCGGACGCGGCCCTCCGCGACGGCGAGCTCGACCTCCAGTCCTTTTTGAACGCGCGCGAATTCGAGATCCGGGCGCTCGAGGAGAGCATGCGACACACCAAGGCCGAGGCCACGAGCCGGGCGTTCCAACAGGTGCCCCGCGGGTTGAGGCGGCGGACGGCGAGCCACAATGCGAAAAGGGTGCCCAAGAGGCTGCGCAGGCGCGCGCTGAAGGAGATGGCGGAGGATAATACCCCCGTGGTGCTCTCGAAGCGGAGGAAGCCCAAGACGACGAGGGCGCGGATCAGGGCGGAGACGGCCAAGAGGTTGGGGATGCTTGCGGAGAAGAAGAGGAGGAGGGCGATGAAGGCTGCGAAAGCTAAAGCAAAGGACGGCGAGGAGGAGACGACGACGACGACGACGGGCGAGGCGGGCGACGGACCTAGCAAAGGCGCAGTCACAGTCACGACGAGGCCGCCGCGGCCCAAGATCCGCCGGAACCAGCTCAACGACCCGCCGCAGCGCAAGTCCAAATTCAGGAAACGGCAGATCAACAAGACGTGGCTGCCGACGCACCTCTGGCACGCCAAGCGGGCGCGCATGACGGAGCCCGCCAACCCGCTCTGGCGGTTCGCGGTACCCCTGACGCCCAACGAGAAGACGTACCGGGCGACGCACCGGTCACACGGCGACAGGGGCGCCGTCGTCTGGGACACGAGCTACGTGAGCACGATTGGGCTCTACGGATCGGCCAAGGGCGTGGAGCAGGTCCTGCGCCGGCTCGGCGTCGTGCAGGAAGGTTGTTGGAATGAGAGAGGCAGGACGTGGAGGGAGGGCACGCGGCACTGGAGCGGGTTCTTGAGCAGGGAGGTCAGGGGAGGAGGAGGCGGGGAGAGGCGGGAGGTGTGCCCGGCTATGATTCTCTGGAATCCTGAGCCGGTTACTGAGGATGGAGACGGGGCGCAGACGGTCAAGGTCCAGCGACAGGTCTTTGTGAGGGTTCATCCGTCCGCGTTTCTCGAGGTGTTCAACGAGCTTCTTCGGCTTGTGAAGATGCAGAATCCCAGGATGTACATCGAAGATCTGCGCTTCGAGATTGGCGGCATCGAGCTCACCGGCCCTGCATCAACCGAGGCCCTCCTAGGCATCCTACACTCATATCACACCGCAGAAGGATCCAGAGAACAGCACGCAGACATCTTCAACGGCCTGACCAGCCTCATGAGTCCCGCGTCACTTCCCCTCAACGCCACGTTGGGTTTCTCCATCATGGACCCTCGCCTTCGATACCCGCCAAGAAAAGTCGCGCAGCTCGACCCCGACGACGAAGAAGAGCAAAACAGATCTCTCGACCTACTCGCAAACTGGCCGGCAGAAACAAACCTGAAGCCCCACGCCCTCTTCCACAGAGACGCGCGGGCTTCGGCCACGAGACTTCCCTCGCAAAAGTCCATCGACAGACGCAAAGGCGCAAGACGTCCCGGCACAGACCTAAGCGTCTCGGACGCCGATCCACCGATCCCCGTGATACTAGTAGCATCACGCGCGCTGGCGGCCGCAAACAACAACAACAACAACAACAAGAACAACGCCCAAGGGAACTGGACGCTCCTGGCGCCCTGGCGGTGCATCCAGCCCCTCTGGCACAGCCTGGTCCACTTCCCCCTCAGCTCGGGCGGCAACCCGCGCTTCTCCGGGCTGGATCAGATCCGCCAGGTCGCGTTCGAGCGGGGCGCGCCGTGTTTCCCGTTTGATTTCCTCGGCACCGATGCCGGTGCCGCGTGGGAGGTGGAGCAGCGACGCCTGCGCAAGGCGAGCTGGGAGCGGCGGCCTAAGAGTAAGCGGGTCGCGTGGGCGTCGTTGGATCTGGGTGCCGGACGGAAGGGGGAGGTTGGTTGTGGGTGGGCGTGCGATGTGGAGTTTTTGTTCCGGGAGGAGACGACGACGACCAAGGGGCGAGAAGAGGAGGAGGATAGGAGCGCTGCTGCTGCGACGGATGCGGATGAGATGGACGTTGATAAGCCTTCTCCAGCAAAGGAGACGGAAGCCGCTGCTGGAGATGATGCGTCCGAGGCAGAGTTCCTCAAGACGCTCCAGCATATCCGCAAGGACGCCTTCAAGGCACACACATCTTCGCCATCGTTAGCGACAACATCTCCATTACCGCCGAGATCCGTCATCAACGTCAAGCTATCCATCCTCAACCGCGGCGTCGTCACCGCCTGCGCAAGAATCTACCGCCTACCCTCGCGCCCCGCGCCCACCGACCCAAACTCCTCCGCCGAAGTCCCCGCAACGGTACCTCCCCCGCCGTCGCCGCCGACGACATCCGTCCAAGGCGGCAGCAGCAGTCTACCCCCTAACCTCCGCGCCCAATGGCTCGCCACCATCCCCATATTCCCCGGCACGACCAAGAAGAACGGAAGAGCAAAACACCATCAACAGCAAGCCAACCTCCCCCTCGCAACCCAAAAGCAAATTCTCGCCCAAAAACTCCTCGCCTCACCCGTAGGGTCCATAGGAGACGCCGCGTCGTCATCATCGCTGCTCCTGCCCGCAAAACCGAACCAGACGGACATGAACGGGCACCACCCTCTCGTCCCCGACGAAAAAGACCTGCTCGGGTTCGTGACGACGGGGTCGTATTGTCTCGCTGAGGGACGGGGGACGGCGATTGGGTGTTTATCAGCCGAGAAGGCTGCTGAGGCGATGAGGGACGGTGGTGCTGGTGGGAGGGAGGGGACGTTGTGTATTATGCGGAATGCTGGGGAGAGCGTTGGGTGGATTGCGCGGTGGGAGGTTGCTTGAAAGGATTTACTCCAAGACGCACAACTTCTGCGAAACCGTATTATGCGTTTTTTTCCTTTGTTGTAGATCGTGTAAAGGTCTGAATACTTGCCAGTCAAAAGCTGGATAGAAGCATGGTTCGAGGAGAGTGTCTGTCGAGGAGGGGGGATTCGAGGTAGAAAAGGAGATATCGGCCCCCAAACAGAGGGTCGTTGATATAAGACAAGCCAGTCACAAGAGAATAAGGTAGGCTGTCCTCAGGATAGAAGAAAGACAGTCGTCCGATGAACGGGAGTGAATATCTCCAGTAGTAATTCGAGACCCGAGTCACATTGCACGCCCCCCATCCCCTCTACCCCGAGAAAGCCTTCTCTTCTCGTCTGAGTCCTGGTCTAGGGCATGGCTCGTGTTGTGTGAAATCACTTCCTGGCAAGGGGTCCAAGGTAGAGTAGGCAGGTTTACGGGAGTTAGTTACCAGATTCCCACTGTGCCAAACTGAAGCAAGACATCTTTTAGATATCGCTATCGCCATGACAGAGAGATGGGTGTAACGTGACGTCAGGTGAAGACTCGACTGTTTTGACGAGGGTTATTCTGTCCTTACTGTGTGTGACTGTCCAGCCCTTGTGCTGGAAATAAACAAAAAACAGCAATACGCATCTAGCTGCGAGAGATATCCTATCTGGTTTGGTATATCCGCTCTGGGATCTTCCGTAATGACGGGGCAAAAGAAAGCCAACAAAATGACAGTGACGCCTTTTTGGTTCCTGCTGTAAAAAAATAAAATAAAAACGCCGTCATTACATCTCCCTCAAGGGCGAAACGTGCCACTTCCGATGGGGTGATTTTGTCTTTCCAAACACGCGCGATAAGGCCTTACTGCTTCCAGTGACCCGCAGCACCTTAACAGGGTTTGAGGAGCTTTGCAAACATAGGGCCCTCAAGAGAAAGAGCAAAGGGCCAGGACAGTGGCGCCTTAATCTTCCTCGCTGACCTCACTCTCCTCGGCATCGCCGCTATTCGCGGCCTCGAGCTCCTTCTCCAGCTCCGCCTCCAAATCGTCTTCCAACGCGTCCTCAAAGTCGGGCTCCGAGTCGACATCCATCTGCTCCACCTCACCCTCGGCATCCTCATCCTGGTCGTGGTGATTGTGGTGCTGCTGTTGCCGCTGCTGGCCGTTCATCGGGCTCGGCAGGTTAAAGTTTGCGAAATCGCGCTCTTCCAGATCCGACTCGCCGTCGGCGTCGTCGGCCTCGGAATCGCGCAAAAAGT